GTTTTTATGGTAAATTTAGGTACAAATTTAGTGTGTTCTAAAATAATGAAAGCTTATATGACGGAGCTGTATAAAAAGAAACTACAGGTCGTATTGGGTTATCTGGTTTGTGTAGTTTAATGAAAGAGTATAATTTAGGAGGCTGTGGGTTCATGATATTGAGGTATTTCTGTTCTATTGAATTTACTATTGATTTTGAATTTTCTAATGCTACATTAATTTGTTTTTGATATTTTTTTGTCGGATCTTTGTGTAGCGTTTCAATATTAGACTCTATAAAGTGTAAACGCATGCCAAAAATAGATCACTTGAGAAAGGCAATCAGCCGAAACAGCTGTAGTGATAAGAGGTTAAAATATATTTTTTTGAAGTTTGAAAACAAAGTTTTCAGTGTTTTATTGTTACATAAAATATATTTCCATCAAGTAACGGTCGAATCCATCAATTATAATAAAAAGTGCTACTATCTAATATCCTAAATCATGGATTTCATTTAATTGTTACTTGGCTAGGTTTAACAAACTTAGACTCCTTAATACTACCTTTAAAGTAGAACTTCTATATTTACTGTTCCACGTGTCAGCTAATTATGTATGCTACACCAAAAACATTTGAATCCAGTTTAAAACTAGTTATTATTACTTTACTTTTGTTGTGAAGAAGAGTCTACACCATACACAGGCGTGTTTCTCGATGGGCACTAATGGTTACTTGCAATGGAGAATTGAATGTTAGGGAGAAATATGCATTTCAGTTATAAAATGTGTTTTACTCAGTTCACTGTTTTTTGTTTGTAAAATTGTGTTTTTTTTTTATTTTACCTCAAATAAACTATTTTTTACACTTTAGTATTTACTACTTGGTTTTTGGTGGACTTTTGCGATATTTCGATTTCGTACTCCTTATTTTAATGTCCAACCGAGCAACTTATAATTTTAGTTAACAGTTTTCTAATTAATACTTTAGAGAACTTAAATTAACATATACAGGGTAATTGATTAGTGTGAGGAAGCTCAGTAGATCTGTTATAGTGAAAATTATAAAAAAAAAAGTTATCAACAAAAATTGTAGGCAGCTTTAAACTCCACATTTTAAAATTAGTTACAATCTTACAGGGAGTTCCATAAGATGGTGGCAGACCAAACTTAGGTTTTTTTAAAGAGAACACCCTGTATTTTATTTTAAATTTGAAATCTGTTTCACTTTCACATCACAACAATGTTAAGTTTTATTATGTTATACTGGGTACTTAAAAAGTTATAACTAGACTTCGGCAAATATGCAAATAAAAATGTAGAAAATCTGCGCATAAATATGCACGTGTTTACCCGAAAATATGCAAATATTTTACAAAACATGCATACAAATAAATAAAAAAATCGTAAAATAGTAACAATTTTATTTAAAAAAAAAAAGTGTACATAACTAAATATTTCCTACTATTCATTAAGATTTACATTTATTTTAAGTAACTACATCATTTTTAAGTATGAATAAACTTATTTAGAATTATGGTAACAATAAATGACTAAGTGGTGTTCAAAATTTTCTAACAAAAACTTGTGGCTTCTGTCTGAGTACATATATTTATATATGGAAAAACTTCGTTCAACATCAACTGATGTAACGGGAGCATTTTTCAAACTAACCAAAACATTTGGTTCTAAATTAATTGTTTCCAAAATATTTCCAGCTAGAACACTGACTACTTCAGAAAGAATATGGTAACCTTTATTTTTTTCCATAGTAGCTTCAAATTTTTTTAAAATATCTTTTCCATTATTACCTCTAACCTTCCGACAACATGACGCAAATTCTTTTATTAATGCTGTACTTTCGAACAATGACAGTTTTGGTGATTCTAAGTGAGTAATGTGTTCTAAGTGAGTTGAACAAAACTAAAATTTGATTTTATAAATGAAAGTTCTTGTTGAAGCAAGTTACTCTGAAAAGTTTGTTTAGAATCCAAAAGAGATTGGGAACTTTCATCTGTTAACGTATCAATTATGTTCCTTATTTTAACAAAATGATCTGCATAAAAATTAGCTGCTTCTAACCATGTTCCCCATCGCGTTAAAATAGGTTGTGGTGGAAGAGAAATGTTAGGTAGCATTTCTTTATAAAGTTGAATTCTTGTAGGAGATTTAAGAAATACTTTTTTGACACTGGATATCATGGTATTTACAAGAGGAAACTTTTTTCGTATTTCCTCTGCAACTCTGTGTAATCCATGTGCTACACAAGTAACATGTATTTAATCTGGGAAAAATATTTTTAAATTTTGTCCTGCTTTCACCATATAAGGAGCAGCATCCGATAAAATAAGCAGTAATTTATTAGAAGGAATAGTTGTCGGAAAAAAAAAGTTGCTAATGTTTCTTTTATAAAACGCGAAATTGTTAAAGCATTTGTTTTCTCAAGTTGCTGGCATGAAATAAGATGAGATTTTGGTAAGGTATCTTTTTTAAGAACACCAATCAATAAATGAGCAATATACTTTCCTGAGAAATCAGTGGTTTCGTCTACAGATATGTAAAAATAATTATCTGCAATTTCTTCCTTAATATTAATTAACACCGACGAGTATAGCCCGTTCACATTATTTCTTCTTAGAGACCGATCACTTGGAACATTAAGTTTGCAATATTTTTTTAGAAACGAACTAAAATTTACATTTTCTAATTTTGAAAGCGGTATGTTTGCAGACACTAATGCGCGACACAAGTCTTCATTAAAAGTTTCTTGCTCATCTAATTTTTTTGAAGTAGATTGGAAACATTTAGCCATTGAAGTTTGATGTTTTCCTCCTATTTTTTCCTTTTTTTGCAATGTGTGAAGCAGTTCTCACATGTTGATATATCTGAAATTTCTTCTCAAATGCTATCTATCTATAAATAAAAATAAAAACCTTTATTTTAACCCAACCTTTAAAATATAAAAATATACAAGGTGTTTTTGGTTAATCAAATAACTGGTTTGGAAAAAAAACACTCGCTAAGTGTTTTAAATGCAGTATTAATCCACAAATTAGTTTTTGTTACTAACCATTAGTACATCATATAACTTATTTTAAAATTCAACAAAAGTTTTTTTTTGTTAATTCAGTTATAATAAAAATAATTGTGTTTTAGAATAGCTGACTTCATAAAAAAAAGTAAAGGTGAATTGAAAGTATAGGAACATTGATCTATTGCAACCATAGTTTTTTAATAATTGTTAAAAATTATAAAACATATTCATTTTCATAATAGTCGTTAAATCAAATACAGCGTAAGACAAAATGCAAGTACATTATTTTCTTGGTAATTTTAAATAGAACACCCTATATTTTATATCACTATCGAAAAGTACTAATATCGTACTTTCAATTTTATAAAGTACTCCCTATACCTAAAGTTATCAGTTTGCTAGATATTTTTATTTTTCCATCAAAGTTTACCAATAATTATTGTGAGTTGGCCATAAATGATTTGTCAGAAACTGACAGTTTGACATTGTTTATTAATTTAGTATTGGGGTACACCATAAATTAGCAACAAGTATTATTTAGTAATGCAGTAATTAATCCAATTTAAATTAGCAATAGAATTTATCAAGAACGGTTTCCAGATAGGCGGCAACCTAGACAAGATACATTTGACAAATAAAAAGATCGATTTAAACGCACGTTTTCACTGAATTATGAAAAGTATGAACGAACAAAAACTACTCTGACAGAGGAAAACGAAATGAATGTGTTGATGGTAGTTACAGAAAACCCACACACAAGTATAAGCAGTATTTCCAATGAACAAGAACTTAGTTACTACTCTGTTCAAAACATTCTATCTAAAAATAAGATGGATCCTTATTGTATTCAAAAGCACCAAGAATTAAATAATGATTATTTTCAGAAACGAATAGTATTTTGTGAATGGGCCTTAGAAAAAATTAATGAACAGAGAGATTTTTTTTATTATGTTCTATTTGGTGATGAAGCTACATTCCATCGAAACGGTTTTGTTAATAGGCATAAGCTTCACTATTATTCAGCAAGTAATCCATACCATATAGTAACACAAACAAGATGGTCTCTAAATGTGTGGGGAGGTATCGTCGGTGTTCTCGGACGCGACTAGTTCACGTTCGAGACGCATCGCCCCGCCCCTTATTTTTCCCGTTGGCCCCTCCCTGACCTGGAAATCCCTAATCGCTACTTCAGAAAGTATAAAATTAGGCGATTTTCAGGTCAATCAGTCAGTCCTTCACGGGCTCTCCGAGAGCTTAGTGCTCTCGGGGCTCTGCTTTCTTGTTTTAGATTTTCCCATACTCTGTGGCTGAGATGTTATTCTACTGCAACCTGGTATTTTTATTTCGACTTAACCTTTGTCATGTAAGAAATATCTTGCCTTTTTCAAGGCAAGATACCAGAAGAAAACATTTTCGAGTCCATACCTTGAAAATGGACTTAAGTAGAGGAGCTCACGATGTTTTCGAAGCCCCTCTACAGAGCACACGGTGGTACAGAAGGTGGCAAGACCCTTTCCATTTACCCCGAGGTGACATCGGTAACCATGTAGTAGGACCATATTTCAATATAAGATTATATATTATATGTAAGTTATTGAAAAAACACATAACTTTTATAAATAAGTTTCATAAGATTTATCCCACATTAAAATTCATTGACGAAAAAGAAGAAGTATTAAAATTCTGGAATATTCAAGATATCATCGAAAAATCTGTAAATGTCTAATGAAGTCTGGAACGTCAGAAAATGTAGATAAACAGATGCTATTGACATTTTGGATAAAAATAGTATTTTGAACTTGATAGTTGTCATTGTATTAAAGTATTGTAAACAAGTTGGTGTTACATAAAGTTGTTTTAAAGAAATGCAACATTGGTGACAGCTGTGCGATTGAAGATATATTAAACAATTGCGAATGATTAATAATAAGAGATCTACCGAATTTAATAAAGAAATGGGTACGTCCGGACCTCCCGCATGGTTTTTAAAAATGAAAGAGGAAATTAAAAAGGAAAAAGTAAAATGTAGTCAAAAAGGGAAAGAGGAAAATCAAAAACGTAAGCAAGAAGAGAAAAAGAAAAATAAAAAGCCTAGGAAGGAGGAGAGGAAGAGAGCCGTAGAAAAGTAGAGGTAGAACTCATGATTGGTTTATCTCAAATTCACGAAAATTTTCAGTTAGGGGTTAAGTCAAATTACTAGTAGAATAGACAAATTAGAGAAACAACAAATCGATTTATAAAATAAAATAGTACAACAACAAAGAAAAACTAATACCCAAACTTTTTTATATAAGATTGTTTAAGTTAATAATATCGAATCAGAACAAATAGCTTGATTATCTTCCATAGTTCAAACCAGCATAAAAAGAACTAACAAAATTTTAAAACCACTTACATTCGATGGCCAATAAACGTTGGGAAACGAAGCTGCAGTTAGAGCGAATGGATAAAATGAGAAATAAATGCTAGCATCCCTGGTGGTGTCGTTTCGAGGAAAAGCATCAACCGTTTCAACAAACAACAAATGATTTTTCAATTTCTTCCTCAGGACGCACCCAGCTGTCTCGTTCAAGCTTTAGAGACAAGATATGGCTAGCTGCATCTAAAACTGGTTTTCAAAGTCAGTTGAAAGTTCGATATCAAAAGCATAACGAAAGCCTGCAAGAATATGAAGCCGATATTAAAAGATTATTGTATTTGGCGTAATCACATGTACCTAAAGATTTTCTGGAACAAATTGGCATACAGGCATTTATATACGGCCTACAGGATGTTGAAATGCAATAAGCTACAGGATGTTGAAATGCAATAAGCTCTTCTTCTTCTAGAAAAATGAAAAAATATATATAATGAGTGTAACGATAAGACTACCAAAGAGAATTGACGTACTTTTATAAAAATTATACCTCAATCAAGAGCATGCAATATAGAAGACATAAATGGATGGGTGACAAAACGGAAACAGGAATGGAACGAACACATTAGTAAAATGGCAGAAGATAGGATAGTACGAATAGCACGAGATAATTAACCAAATGGACGAAGAAGTATTGGCAGACCAAGAAAAAGATGGTGCAATAATTTAAACAATTTAGGAGGCTAATATCGAAGAAAAAACAGGCTTTAAAGCCTACATACGAGAAGAAAGAAGAAAAAGAAGAAGCTATTCTATATAATTTTCACGAAGTAGTTATGACGTTATCTAAAATATTGATGCAAAGAGTTTACCACCATTTTTTACCTCGTACATTTGTTCTGTAATTACGAATGGCACTGTCATGAAGATCCATTCTGCCCATATATTTATTATATTAAGTAATGTCGCCGCCGTAAGTGGTTAAACAGCAAAAATATTACTAGCGACTGTAACAACTGAATTATCATTCCACCGAACAAAACTGGACTTTTCCCCAATGTTTTTCCAAATGAGCCCCCATCTAAATGAGCTTTATTTGTTTGATTTTCTCGAATGCTACCCGTAGCAAAAAATTTCGAAAAGCTTATAGGACGAAAAATAATTATCAAAAAAAAAACTCTGTAATGCAATGGATTTTTAAGTGTAGATAAAAGGTCAATCCCTATTTGACCACCAAGTCCAAGTGGAGATTTTTCTTTTTTCGTGTTTGCTCCGGCTTACGGTATAAAAGTAAACAAATATCTATCTGATTAACACAAACACTACAACCAGATCTCACCGGCTTTCCTTTTATAAACATCTTACATGATTGGCGGACAAAATAGGGTACCATTTGTTCGTCGATCGAGAGATTGTGGACAAAAATTCCAAACTGTTCAAAACTGTTCCAAACTGTTCGTCGATCGAGAGATTATGACTTCAAAAAATGGTTTTTTGTGAATTTATTATTTTGATTGAGATTTGCATTGTTTGATAGATGGATATTTCTTTTGATATTCCTGAATATATTTCTACTCATACATTTTCTTACAATAGGCAAACCCTTATCTTCGTCCAAACTCCAGTATAAATCTGTTTGCGGTATTATATGGTAACCTAATAGTATCAAAATACCAAGATATTTTTTAAGTCTTTTGTGCAAAATTAAAAATCCGGATGATTATTATCACGAGAATATTTCACTGAAAACTCTACTATCATGGTCAAAAGTTCTTCGTCAAAAAACATTAAGAAAATGTTCAATAGTATTTTCCCTCCAGTTTATGTTTTTTTGTTGTAGACTATTATGTTCATTTGAGGTAGGTAAATGAATATAAACAACTTCTTATTTTTCCCACTCTATTTTTTTTTCTTGGCTTGGACAATTGTCATTCAGCCAGTCTCCATCAACATAAGTTTTGTTAAAGAATTTAAATATGTCAATTAGTGAAACATGATTAATATAATAATAATAACAGCTAAGCTAATGTACATACTATGTTAATAAATACTATATCATACCTTTATTATAATTTAGTTATTGAGAGACGCCATCAGAAATTTATAGTGTATACATCTTACAAATAAAAAAAATAAAAATAAAGATATCTACCTACTATGTTAATAACTACAACTATGGTAATACATTTTTTTTTCACTACGTTAGGACATAAACCCGATTCAACATCTCGGAGGTTTAGATCCTCTTAGTGATTGTTTTAGTATATTTTTATTTTTTCTTTTTTTTTCTTATTTTGTTCTTTTTTTTTTAATGTATTTCTATAATCATCTTTTTTGTTTTTTTTTAATTTATTTTTTTTTTCTTTTTAAATCTATTTTTTTAAGTATTTTTTATATTCTTTTTATTTTATTTTTTTTTACTTTTTTTTTTAATAATTTTTTTTATTTTTTTCATGAATTTTTTCTAAACATAGGTTACAAATCTTACTAATTACAGGCATACTTTACTATCAGACAAAAATATTATCAAGCAGTTATACATTTTCTTCTCATTGAGTAGAAAGAGAATATTAACAGGAAGAGGGATGTTCTTGTCTATCATTAGGTTGATAGACAAGAACATCCTAGATGTCATTCAGGATCAGGTATCCTCATAGATATCATTTAATTAGGTTGTTGGTGAGTTGTTTATACTTTTGACATTCAAAAAATATGTGGTTTAAGTCACTTTTAATCTGACATTCTTGACAAATATCCGAATTTAATATATTTATTTTAAATAAATGTACAGGATAACATGCATGGCCAAATCTAAGTCTACTGATGGTAGTTATGTATTTGCGGGGGAGGACGAAATTCTTATACCAAGGTTGTTTTGGAATAATTGGTTGTATCAAACTGTATTGTGTTGTTGAAATACTACAGTACTTTTCCCAGTATTCTCTCCAGTTGTTCATTTGTTTAGTTCTTGAACAAGCAAAAGCATCTATAATGCAAGGTTGATAGTTGGTAAGTGTTCCATAAAAGATGGAATTTTTTGCTAACTGGTCCACGTGTTCATTATATGTAAGTCCTGAATGTGCTTTGATCCACATCAATTGTATTTTTTGGGTGTATTTATTAATTTCAAATAAGCAATTTTTAATTAAAAAAATGTCTGTATTAGAAGTACTACAGGGTAGTTGCGGTTTTTGAATAGCTGTAAGTACAGATAATGAATCAGATAAAATTACTGCTGAACTATACGATGCCAATTTAAAATACTTTAAAGCCTCATATATGGCCACAGCCTCAGCACTAAAAATAGAGAAATTTGTGGGCAGCTTAAACATTTTTCCTATAAATTTATCTGGAATATAAAAGGCACAACCAGTACCCTTTGAACTTTTAGATGCGTCGGTATAAATACAAACAGATTTTGGCCAATTTGTCAGATAGTTGTTTAAAACAATACGACTTATTAAATGGTTCTCATGATAAATAGGTTGTATTATATGTACTTGATCCAGTAACTCAAAGAAATCTTTAAAATGTACTACTTTGTTTGCAACCATAAGTTCAGTATCTTTATTTGCAGTATTTCGAAATGCTTCGCATAGCGGTGGAGAATTCTTGCGAGTCCAATATTCATTTGTTAAGTCGAAATAATTTAAAATACTAATATCTTTATATAAACAAGTGTTGTAGTAACAGACTTTAAGAAGAAATTTTTGACTGAGATATTCTCTTCTAAATTTACTGGGCGGTTCCATTGTCTCAACATAAAGTGGTTCAATAGGGGTAGATCTCATAGCACCAATGCAACACCGCAAAACTGTGTTTATAAAAACATCTATACGACGTAAAATATTGTTACTAGCGCAGCCGTAAACTACAGAGTCATAATCTATAATGGACCTGATATAAGAACGATAAAATAGAAGACACGTTTCAACATCTGCATTTCCCACTCTAGATTTTCTCTCTCTTTTTTACCAGAAAGTCGTCTTTTTTTCCTGACACAGGTTATTCGGCTCATCCCAAATGTCATTATCGTTATCAACCTTAATTTCCAAGGTACCAGCTATTTCTTTATCAATTGATTCGTCATTAAAAAGTACATTCCCGTACATTAGATGGAATGTAGACACATCCACAAATCCTATCAAAATTTATAATGTTATTTATACACAAAATATATATCAACATACTTCGTTCTATTTCTAAATCATTAACAATTCCTTCTAACGCACTTTCTCTCTATGGGTCAAAGTATGCCTTTTAGGCAGAGCTAAATTCAGTAAGAGACAAGATCTAAGGAGTTGCTGCGTACTTATTCATAGATTCCGTCAACGGTGCGCTAACGCACCACTATATAATTACCATCTGATTCTTAGAAAAATGAACATCTTATCACCAAAAATGAATTCTACATAGATTTGTATGTATATCTTTTCAAAAAAGTAATAAATAAAAAGCGTCCACAGCGTCCAAACATATATATCCCATAATTTATATTTAAAGTTATGGGCATGCATTTTTAAAATGGTGAACATTAACTTTATTAAAACATTTAAAAAGGCCCGAAAACAATAAAAATAGAAAAATAATGTATCGAATCAAATCTATAAAGATTGCATATTGAACATTGAACTACCGCAATCAGGTGCGTATACATCAGTGTTGCCGATGTCACGATATGGAATTATGTTAAGTCGCTGCTAAAATTATCAGATTTTGCCAAAAATTATGTTAAAATTTTTGCAAAATTATGTTGAAAAATTTTTTTCTTGGTAGTTTCTAAAAGTAATAAAAACACCTGGAACCCTTTCAAATAAAATTTCCTCATTATCATCTTGGGAAGATGAAGAGTTCATGTGATTAAAATATTTTAACATTTTTTTGTCTGTTTGAAACGACTAACATTCTTTTACTACTTCACTTGCTAACACTAGTCCATTTACTGTTTGGGTACATAATTTGGGAACTAATATCTGTAGATTCGTCTACTAACACAGTAAATTTCTGTTTCTTCAAAATGTTCACGATTTTTTGAAACTGAATTTCTTCCAAGACGTTAGTAATGATAGTTGTCGTTTTGGTTCTTCCCATTATAATAACACTTTTTTTAAAATTTGGATGAATCTGGAAAAGCAGAATGTAGAAGTGGAACTAGGTGCTCACATAATCTTATTGGAAGGTTATGCTTTTCAATTAATGCTGCTAATTTAATTTCCGCACTATAAACTTGCTCTTCTTCATTGTTATTTAGCTTATATATTTTAGACAGCTTTTTTGGTCTTTTTTTTTTAAACACAGACCCTAATTTTTATGTTGTTCGCCTTAAGAGTGATTTTTTATTACAGTAAGATCTGTACTAGATTCTGCATCACAACTAGAGCATTTTGCTTTCGTAGGTTTATCTGTAATTGACAATATTTTAAATAATATAGAATCACAATTTTGTAAAATAATTATACATTTACCTGTAACAGCTTTTAGTCATCCTTTAAATTCCGGTTTATTTTCCCATTACATTCTAAATTTTTGTGGATTATGTTGTCTTCGACCGGCACCGTATTTAGATTTTTTCGTCTTTTTCAGAATCAGAGTCAGAATTATGACTCTTCTTAAGTTATCTAATGCCTGGTTGCACCAATAGATCTTAAGCTCCAGCTTAGCCAAGCTCTGCTTATAGCTAGGGCTGCCTTAACTCTCACTTACGTTGCACCATAATTTTTTATTCTAAAATATTCATTATATTCTTAAAAATAAAAATACAAAATTTGGTTGATCGCCGTCGGACGGTTTGGTCGTGGTCAGTCGATCAGTCTGAGCTGAGGCCTACCTAAGGCACGTCTTAAGCTTAAGATATGTTGGTGCAACCAGGCATAAATTACTCGAAATTTGCATGTTAATTTTTAAAGTATCAAATATAATACGTTAACTAAACTGTACAACCAAAATCCAGTAACAGAATTACAATGGTTTGTTTATGATTTATTGCAATCCAATTTATGATTTGGTGAATCCCTGCGCGATGTAGGGATTCTCCAAATTATACTTACTGTACTTTCCCGAGCTACATATAAGAATCAGAGTTATGTTAGACAATTCTACATACGATTGTCAGCTTTTTATTTTGATTTTAAATCTTATAATACGCCAATGTATTATGTACCAATTTTATCGACATAATTTCTAGAGGCATACGTATAAAATTATGTTAAAATTATCAATTATGTTAAAAAAATATTTATTATCAGAACGCCATAAAAATTATGTTAAAATCTGATAATTATGTACAAATCGGCAACTCTGGTATACATACCTTTGGCCGAAAATGGGTTTTTAAAGCTGTAAAGTACCAAATTATAGAAAACAAAAAATGGAGTACGAAACATTAGGTTTATTTTATTTTATTTTTTGAAATATTAGGAATGAAAAATTAAACAAGTATTGTATTTTAGGTCTTTCAGAACATCCTGTAAACACTACCTCCGATCTCTTATATTGGCTGCAAGAAGGTAACAAACGCCGTAAAATAGCAGCCACCCATTCCAATCCCCAATCGAGTAGAAGTCATTCCGTTTTTGTTGTTAATTGTGATGGGGTTAAATTGAATTTAATCGATTTGGCAGGCAGCGAAAGGGCAGCCAGTCGGTGTTTTAATCTTTCCAGGTTCAAAGAAGGTTCCAATATAAATAGAAGTATCGTTGCTTTAGGAAATGTAATTTCTGCATTAGGTAGGTATTTAAAACTTCTATTAACCACTAAGTAAAGAAAACGCATTAAAAAAATGTTAATATTTAAATAGTAAGATATAGATGAGAAAGTGATAATACAAATTCAATATATTTTTATATACTCTTGTAAAGTAGTTGCGATGGTCATGTTTTCGGTTTCCGTGTGAACTTATTAGATGGACTTACAGCCCAGGGAAAAGGGCATTTTTTCATGACACTCGTCCGGCAAGGCAAACGACAGTTGTTTTGAGTAGTACGGACCTCTGTAACAAAAACCTATATGTTTCCTGCAGTCGATTTTTTGGACTTAATTAGTTATTAACAAATTAAGGTCAAAAAACGGGAAATTTTTGCTTTTTTCGGCTATCAGCAAAAAGTGAAGCAACAAATTTTAGAAGAAAGGAAACTTATAAGTTATATAAAAACCTTTAAAATAGCGTTTTCTAAATGTTTCTATCCTTATTTGTTGCTTAGAAAGTTGCAAAATAAGTCAAAAACTTCGGTTTTTTATAAATGTTAATAACTTTTTTGAAAATAGACTTATAATATTTATATTTCATGGAATGATGTATCCTGCAGCTCTTAAAATAGGGTTAAAATTTCAATTTGATTGGTCCAATAGTTTAAAAGTTAGTTGATTTGTTTATACCAAATTAACATTTTTTGCATCAATATAAGTCAGAAATTTATACAGTTTTAGTAATTCAAGGCATAGTTTCTGGTAGAAGAAGACTTGTTTTATTATTTACATTAAAAAAATATTAAGAAAATGAATTTTAAATATTGCAAAATAATTTTGCAAAAACATGTCGATTTTTTGCGTATAAACAATTAGAATAACTTTTTAACCATTGACTGTAAAAATATCATTTTTAAATATTTAAAAAGCTTGAATTTTTTCACAAATTTAAATAGAAAAAAGTTTGTCCTAAAATAATTTGGTACAAAGTTAGCCTCTTTTTTTATTTAATCCATAGCACCTTTGTTTATAACACTTAAGAAATTTAATTAGCGCCATTTGAAAGAATATACTTTACAGTTTTAAAGAACTAAATTTTAAAAATATTGCCCTGTAATGGAATCGTGCACAAAGCTTCAAAATGTATGTAAAATCGGTCGGCTTTGAAACTCTTGGGAGCTGAAGGGAGGGGGAAGGCGCTGTTAACTGTATCTCTGTTCCTTTTTTATGTATTTCAACGTTTCTTTTTGAACTTGTATGTACTTCTTGCGTACATTACGAATATGCATTATTTTAATAAATAAATTGTCAAATAAACCACCTAATTTGTTTAAAAACAATTTTTTTTATTTATTTTTTAATAGTATTTAAGTTAGGTTTGAATGTAAAACAGAAGTATTTGTCATTTCCTATATTTTGGGAACTAAGTCACAATTTAAGTTTATCATAAGTTTATTTTTGATGTTTCGATTTCTACTTCGGAAATCTTTCTCAGAATGCAGAACATTAATAAATTAATCAAATTTTGTTTTTGGTTACTTGGTAGAAAATTTTCCTGATTTGGGTGATTGATTAGTGTGAGGAAGCTCAGTAGCTCTGTTATAGTAAAAATTACAAAAAAAAAGTTATTGACAAAAATTGTAGACAGCTTTAAACTCCACATTTTAAAATTAGTTACAATCTTACAGGGTGTTCTATAAGATGGTGGCAGACCAAACTTATGTTTTTTTAAATAAAATTTTTAATAATTAATAAAATAGTATTTTATTTTAAATTTGAAATCTGCTTTACTTTCACATCACAATAATGTAAAGTTTTATTATGTTATACCGGATATTTAAAAAGTTATAACCAATATTACCTGAAAATCGTATCAAGTTTAACTCCCTGTATAATTAAAAAGGAGTATAGGACCATTGATCTATTACAACTATAGTTTTTTAATAATTGTTAAAAATTATAAAACATATTCGTTTTCATAATATTCGTTAAATCAAATACAGAGTAAGTCAAAATGCAAGTACATTATATTCTTGATAATTTTAAATAGAACACCCTGTATTTTATATCACTAGCGAAAGTACTGATATCATACTTCACATTTTGTGGAATACTCCCTATACCTAAAGTTATCAATTTTCTAGATAAGTATTAATTTGGTAGATATTTTAACTTTTACCAATAATTACAAACCGACAGAAAATAAAAAAAAATAACAACACATAAAGAAATAAAAAACAACTGTAATTTTAACTAATCATACTTAAGTAAGGTGTTCAAAATGACCTCCCAAAACATCTATGCATACTTGAAAGCGGTCATTGAAAGAGTTACTTACATTACTAACATTTGTAAAGAAATATTTTGAAATGCAATTCGGATTCTATTTTTATATCCCTTGTTGTTGAAAGTATTTTATATACGTCGTTCTGAATGTAACCCCAAAAAAAGAGTCCACTTTATTGCATTCTGGTGACCTTGGGGCCTCCCGTTAAGATCCATCTTTCACCAAACTGATCATTAAAATATACTGATACTAAAATAAACTGGTAACTTTATGTATAGGGAGTACTCTATAAAATTTGAAGTACGATATTAGTACTTTTTGATAGTGATATAAAATACAGGGTGTTCTATTTAAAATTACCAAGAAAATAATGTACTTGCATTTTGACTTACCATGTATTTGATTTAACGAATATTATGAAAACGAATATGTTTTATAATTTTTAACAATTATTAAAAACCTATAGTTGCAATAGATCAATGGTCCTATACCTACTCCTTTTCAATTATACAGGGAGTTAAACTTAATACGATTTTAGGTAATATTGGTTATAACTATTTAAATACCCGGTATAACATAATAAAACTTTACATTGTTAGGATGTGAAAGTGAAGCAGATTTCAAATTTAAAATAAAATATAGGGTGTTTCATTTAAAAAAACGTAAGTTTGGGCTGCCACCATCTTATAGAACACCTTGTAAGATTGTAACTAATTTTAAAATGTGGAGTTTAAAGCTATCTACAAGTTTTGTTAACATTTTTTTGTAATTTTTACTAAAACAGATCTACTGAGTTTCCTCACCCTAATCAATCACCCAGAAGAGTTATCAGAAAAATTTTCCAACCAAATTTTCTACCAAGTAACCAAAAACAAAATTTGATTAATTTATTAATGTTCTGTATTCTGAGAAAGATTTCCGAAGTAGAAATCGAAACGTCAAAAATAAACTTATTATAAACTTAAATTGTGGCTTATTCCCCAAAATATAGGAAATGACAAATACTTGTTTTACATTCAAACTTAACTTAAATACTACTAAAAAAATTTTAAAAAATTGTTTTTAAACAAATTAGGTGGTTTATTTGACAATTTATTTATTGAAATAATGCATATTCGTAATGTACGTAACAATTAAATACAAGTTCAAAAAGAAACGTTAAAATACATAAAAAAGGAACAGAGATACAGTTAACAGCGCCTTCCCCCTCCCTTCAGCTCCCGAGAGTTTCAAAGCCGACCGATTTTACATACATTTTGAAGCTTTGTGGAGGATTCTGGGGGCAATAATTTTAAAATTTAGTACTTTAAAACTATAATGTACATTCTTTAAAATAGCGCTAATTACATTTCTTAATTGTTATAAACAAAGGTGCTATGGATTAAAGAAAAAAAGAGGCTAACTTTGTACCAAATTATTTTAGGACAAACTTTTTTCTATTTAAATTTGTGAAAAAATTCAATCTTTTGAAATATGTAAAAATAATATTTTTACAGTCAATGGTTAAAAAGTTATTCTAATTGTTTATAAGCAAAAATCGACATGTTTTTGCAAAATTATTTTGCAATATTTAAAATTCATTTTCTTAATATTTTTTAAATGTAAATAATAAAACAAGTCTTCTTCTACCACAAACAATCCTTACAATTACTAAAACTGTATAAATTTCTGACTTATATTGTTGCAAAAAATGTTAATTTGGGATAAACAAATAAAATAACTTTTAAACTATTGGACCAATCACTTTGAAATTTCAACCCTATTTTAAGAACTGCAATATACATCATTCCATAAAATAGAAATATTATAAGTTTATTTTCAAAAAAGTTATTAACATTTATAAAAAACCGAAATTTTTGACTTATTTTGCAACTTTCTAAGCAACAAATAAGGATAGAAACATTTAGAAAACGCCATTTTGAAGGTTTTTATATAACTTATAAGTTTCATCTCTTCTAAAATTTGTTTAAATTGCTTCACTTTTTGCTGATAGAGGAAAAAAGCAAAAATTTTCCGTTTTTTGACCTTAATTTGTTAATATCTAATTAAGTCCAAAAAATCGACTGCAGGAAACATATAGGTTTTTGTCACGGAGGTCCATACTACTCAAAACAAGTGTCGTTTGCCTGGCCGGACGAGTGTCAAAAGCAGGGTACTTTTTTGGTTATTTCCCTGGCCTATTAGTTTATCGTTATTTTTATTATCTGACGATAATAGAAACCTTTTAATTGATTATTATTTTATATATTATAATATATGAAAACTACTTTTAATATACTAGAATATACTAAAATACAACGAAAAAAAATTAGCGAATAATATATCTAAACGATCAGCAGCACCTATTACAAGATTAAAAACTAGTCACAGTACTATTCCTGCTCATCTGGCTAGATTAAACATTATATAATCAGGTAAGTATTCATGTGCTATTATTTCCCAGTGTGCCATTAACCACATCCTGTTTGGATGTATTAAAAATAAAGCACTCTCATCTACATTTTATGAAAACCTTATTAAAAGTAATGTGCAACTTCCAGTAAACATAACCAACCTACTTCCACTGACACAGAAATCAATATAGAACTTATATGTAATTACTTATATGCATTCGGATATATAATATAAATTTGTTACAATCAAGTTTTAATTCATAAACATAACATAAACCATTCAAAAATATGTGGCAAATGGACTAGTTTCCATACCAAACACACTATCATTATCATCGTCATCATCATAAAAAATTAGCGA